ATGATATTAATTTAAACTATCTATTGTATCTTGTATAACCACCTAAGTGTAGCAAATCACCTCTTAATTTTCTATTTGTAAACTAATTTAAGACTAGCTACTATTAATTATAGAAGGGGAAAGAGGGAGCCCAAAGGTTTAATTCATTTAAAAAATATCTAAGTACATTATTTGAAACAATATAAATTGGTAAGCAAGCTTCAATTATCAAATCAACAAGATATTGCCAAAGTTGAAATTGTCACTTCTCTGAATAAATAACAATAGAATTTTTTTTCTAATGAATTTGAAGTTTGATATATACTTGACTACATAATAAAACATATATTATTAATTATAGATTCACTATATTAAAAATAAGGTTACCATTAACATTCAAAAAAAAAATAAAATAAAATAAAAATTAAGGTTTATAGATCTAACCTAAAATAGATGTTATATAAACCTTACTAATATCATGTTTTGAACATAAATAAGATATTGCATTACTGGTTGAAGAATCTTTTTATATATATGTTGTACCACAAGGAGGAGAGGTTGGTGTATCTTTATATTGACAAACCATAATTGGTACTTTCTCAGTTTCTTCATTACTGTTATTATGACTATCTTCACTAGTATCTTTTACGATTTCTAATTCTCTTAATTCAAAATACAGTAATTCCAAATCCAACTATTTTTAGCACGATTGATTTCTGATTTAGTCTTTTTACTAATTCGGTTAACCATATCGCCTGAAGTTCTTTTCGAAGTACTTGGTACAGGAATATTTGACATTTTCTTTGAATAATGTATTTTTTGTTCACAATAATGTTACAAATTTAAATAATAATTATTATTATTTATTATTATGTAATTTATACATAATTTTATATCACAAATAATATCGGATGACAGATATCCTATGATAAATTAACTGATCGGATTGGATCACGGATAAAAACGGTTCTTGTGACAAATATCCGACAATAAAACAGATGATGCATTATCGGATTGGAACACTACTTGGAAGTGTTTAGTTTGTTTTAATTTAACCTTTTAAGATAGTATTTTTGGTTACTATTTTTTTTGAAAAAGGATTAGCAATTTAAATTTTATCAATTTTATTGATCTGTCTGCACTGTACTAATTTCGATATATTTAACCCCAAAAATTCAAAAATAAGTTAATTTGTAAGTTGGAAAGGACTTTGAGCTTAAAGTTTATAGTAAATTCATATGCTTTTATAATAATTTTTATTATATATTAACACTTACATATTAGCAGGTGTGACATCGTTCCACTTTATAATCAATTAATACATCTTATTAAAGGATCATATATATTGTAAAAGATCTTATACTACATTGACTACCCGTTTGTATAATTACGTATATTCGTTCACCAAAAAAAAAAAACTGAATCAGGCAACATAATAAATATAACAGAGAATATTCAATTAGGTATCTAGTTCTAAGCACCGTTCGTCTGTATACCCCCTAGCAATACCAGTTCGACCTTCTTCAGCAATTTGTACCGCGGTCTCACCAATTTTTGGATCCAATCCTCGAAATGTCCGAGAATTTAGATATTCTCCGGCAACACTATTCAGCGCCGTGGAAATCGATGTGTGTTGATTGCGCAACATTAAATCAGTAACATTATCTGTGGTATCATCTATTAATTAAACAGCAGTTAAATTTTGAAGGTTGATAAGAATCAAATATAGTATAGGGGACCCCATTAATAAAATTGATTAATGAATTAATTGATTATAGTAATGGTTTCTCTATATTATATTTGATCCGTTTGAAACTATAAACCTAACAAATTACCTTGTGATGAATCTTTGAATATGTATTTTCTTTGTTTCAACTTGCCTGTTACCAAAGAGAAATGTGGCTCGTCCTCACTTTCTGGCTGAAAATCGGGTTCATCAATGGTTGCATCTAATAATAATAATAATAATAATAAATATATAATTTTGATAAATATTATCTTATATCAGCTACATACCAGATAGTAATTGCTGAAAATCCGTAATATATTCTCCGGTCCATTGCTTCGACCTAAGTCAAATAACATCTCAGTAATCGATAAAACTTTACGAATCTCAAAGTATTTAACTTACGAATTCAATGCAATTTCTAATTCATAAGGTGTGACAATTGGACGATAAAATTCCTGAAATATGAAATTCAAACTTATAAAATTACATATTGTCGCTGGCAACATAAAAACAAAATAATCAAATTTTATGAATTGAAAAACCTTCGAATCAAGTAAGCAATTTTCTGAACAAGCTACGAGTACAAAACAATCGATTTCCATAAAATTTGCCATTTTTGCCACGTTGAGTTTGCCCATCACGAACGTGTAAGGCTTTTTTCCTGCACGAATAATTAACTTTTTGAGGTGTGAGATTATTTCCAAATAATATGCTAATGAAAAAAGTGAATTTGCATCAATTTGTAAGATAAAATAGGAAAGACTATATTAAGACGGTGGTCCGGAGTATAACAAAGGACGCACTATTTCTATACAGAGTGATTCAAAATCTCATTTTGACGCATTTTGAATAAAAACATCGAATTTTTTCGTGTCGCATATTCATGTATCACATCAGATATCACACGACTCATTATGTTTCGCTCCGGACTTATGATACTTTACCTACACCTAAGGTACCCACCACTATGCCAATGACGTCTGCGTCTTTAGCTTTTTGAACCATGTAAAACCTGAATGTAGATCAATTTTGTAAAGAATATGTTTTAAAAAGCTATTACAATGAGGTGAGAACAACATGGAAACTTACCGTCTCATTAAAGATTTATTTTTCGGTAGTGATTCTTGGCGTCCTATTCGCGTTTCAGGATTGTATGAATAAACCTTACAACACAAAATCCTAAATTATGAGACAGCATATACCTATATATGTGAGTATAAAGGCTACCACGTACCTTACACTTATTGTATGTCAACAAGACGTTTACTAATGTTGCGCTTTCTTCTCCAATATAAAAGATCATGTAAGATTCAATGCTTGTTTCCTCAAGAAGTTTATAATATCTTCCGTTTAATTGAGGACTATTCATATCTACCAATAATTAAGAAATAAATACTGCAATCAACAGTTGGCGTGATTACCTTTACCATCTTCCTTAGTTTACCTTTTAATCCTTGTGATATATTACAATCCGTCTTAACGAAAGACTGAATAACATTTGTGTATTTCGAATCTTTTCTCACTTTGTGCACGAATTTGTCTAATAAAAAGAAGCTGAAGCAATGTATTTACCTTGAAAAACTAGTGATCAATGAGCAAATGACAAATACCCACCGATACAGTAAGAATATACTACATCATACATGATGATGATTTTTATAGTTTTATCTTGACAAAACAAGCCATCGAATACTTCTAAGCAATGATCAATGTCTATTGGGTGTTTACCAAACACATATATGACAGGTAGGCGAGAAGTACTGTTCCAAATTAAGAAAAATGTGTTTCCGGCGTGTCAAAAAAGAAATAAAATAAAACATATTGTTTCTTACGGGCTTAAACACGAACGGCCATAATGGACAATGCATTCAGCACTAGCGTGTTGAGCTGCAACTTCATCAACGCAACAGCTATGGTGAATAAAGAAACATAAAAAAAAGTACATTTTTTAAAGAAAAGAAGGCTGGAAAACTCAGTTACCTGCCATAAGAAGTGTCAGCCAAAACAAAGATTTTTTTCTGAGTTCGATCGCGTAATACTGTTGCAATTTCAGCTGAATCAGCTAATAGCTCGTCTGGGAATTGAAGTGCGATCTATAATTTAAGAACGGTTAACATTTATTATACTACTAGAAATTACACACACAACTTACTCTTTCATAACCTCCACTCAAAATCATTTCTACAGTACGCTCGATTTCATAAATATACTCCAATTCTTCCTTTGATTTCGCCAGCTTTTTGCTACGAACTTCAATTGTTCGCTCTATGACATCACTACCGTCATTGGCAAAATTGTTAGGTCCGAGAGAAGACATTACGATAACGATTAAGATTTGTATCAGGTGGGATTTTTTTTATGTGGCACTAAATCTACGACTTTTTATTGGTCAACGTTATCAGATAAATATCTTGACTTTTAAAAAAATCTAGTTCTTCCTCTTCGATGGTCATAGTTTTTTGCAATGGCTCCCAAAACTGGCAAGTGTATTTGATTAAGAAATTCACTACAGTTAACCTTGTACATATTTCGAAAGGGGGATGGATGAATAATATTTAAGTTTTAATCAAATTGCAACAGACAAAACTAAAAAGACTGCAGCCACGCAAGCCGCCGAAACAAGTAAGGATGGCTCCAAGGACAAAACCAAGGGAAAGTCTAAAGAAAAGGTCAAAGCACTTGCTGCCAAAAAAGCTATTGTAAAGGGAGTTCATGAAAAAGCAAAAAAAAAGATCCGTACTTCAACAACATTTCGCCGACCAAAAACCCTTCGGCTATCACGCGAACCCAAATATGTGCGTAAATCAGTCCCTCATACACCTCGTATGGATCAATATAGGATTCTGAAGAATCCTCTAAATACAGAATCCGCAATGAAGAAAATTGAGGACACAAATACACTCGTTTTCATTGTTGATGTCCAAGCTAACAAGCGTCAAATCAAAGAGGCAGTTAAAAAGTTGTATGATGTTGATGCACAAAAAATTAACACCTTGATAAGGTATGTGTGCTTTATAGCATCATTATTATACATCTCATATAGTGACATTCATTATATCTTTATATATAATTTTTTCATTTAGACCTGATGGAACCAAAAAAGCATATGTTCGTCTTACTGCTGATGTGGATGCTTTAGATGTCGCTAATAAGGTTGATATGGTCATCTGCGTTATTTTTATATATTATAAGGACAAATATTAATTTTTTATTTTTTTTTTACCATAGATTGGGTTCATTTAATGTTTCGATCCGGGTATTTAATCGGATGTCAAGATAGACATTCCTTATTTATATTCCTTTAATCGGATTTATAAATTGAAAGATGCTTATTCAATCATTCGATCCTAATCGATTCTAGTTCGGCTTATAATATTTTATCGGTATATTGTGAAATTTGATTTAATAACGATAAAAGAATATGCGTAATCGAACATTATACTTACAAACTGGTGTTAACATAGTCTGTATGATCAATTGAATTGAAGAGAAGTCCAGAATGGACACTAAAATAATATTGAATATTTACACAATGATATCTTTCTTATTGTTGTAGCTAAATTTGCATCGATCGTGTACTGCTTTCTATCCAAACAATCGTGATAATCCTATAATATAGCAATCTTGGTAGAGCTATTATCCGGTTGGGAAATAGTGACCCGTGTTAAACCTGCCCTAAAATTTTTCTGTGGCACGGGTCAACAGGAGCGACCGTTAAGGTTACACAAATCGCAGATCACTTCCGTGATCATCCGTTCTTCAATCAGCCAATCAAAATCGCGAATTTTGGTTATTAGTTTTTACAATAAATTCGAATATTTATTAAAAATATGGGGAATATAAGGCCCGAAGAATGAAAATAATTACGTATAAGGGCCCAAAATGAAAATAATTATCTATAAGGATCCAAAATTTGAAAAATATTACAATCAAGGGACCGAATTT